CTTGGTTTTTCAAACTGTTGTTGCCTAGAATTTTGCTCTTTCGCTCAAACGTTACTTCTTGCACTCGAGCGGTCCTTATATATTCCCAGTATTTTTGCAGGTCTGCAACAGCGATGCTTCTTGCGCTCGAGCGAAGTTTCTTGAGCTCGAGCGGTGGTCTTCTGTTTATAAAACTTTTGAGAGTTTGTATTCTTCGCTCCAGTGTAAATTCCTGTGCTCGAGTGTGTCACGACCCAAACCCGCCCCTAAAAGTTTGGCATCGTAACCGGCCAGTAATCCAAGATTACCACAGGCCTTCCTGTACAAAACGTAAATAATCAGGGCTAGCGGAAGCAAAGACAAAATACGATAAGTCCAAAGAGCTGTGCATATATATGAACAAATATTTACATGCCAAAAATGTTAATTTACCCACTTACATTACATAACACATAACGAAATATCAGACACAAAACAAAGCTTGCTAACGGCCTTCCAGGCCTAACCCCAACTCGAAGGCACCCAAAACACTTGGTAGGCTTCCAAAATGGCGCCTTGGTTCAAGACTCCGCCTAGGCTTGACTCCCAGAACGCTCACCTATAAATACATATATAAAAACAGTGAGCTAATAGCCCAGCGAATAACATTAAAGTAAAGGGGTAGTGAACGAATTCCACATATAACGTATTCGTAAAACAAATCATTCATAATCATTCATATCAGAACATAACATAATGGTACATCTCACAGGATATAACACATATCGTCTTCCGACTAGAGAATCGGTTCCGGATACCGATTAACACATATCACCACAATGAAGTGGCTAACGAGATCTTGTATCACGTGTATGTCATGGACCTGCACTAATGTGCCGCCCCCCATGACTTGGGACTATCCGTAGATGCCATACTAGTTTCGCAAATAGGATATTCGTTCACAGAATCAAAATCACATTTCAAAAACATAACTTAACGTATCACATTTGGAACATAGTTAATATTAACATATCTTTACAGAAATGTTACTCACCATGGGTTTCCAAAATCGGTTGTGCGGTCTTCGAGGTTTGACCTACAAATACCGACATTATAACACACTTCCTTAACACATATTGCCATCGAATCAATTAGTTAATGCCATTATACTCTTTCTTTACTTTATTTCATGCTTATGAGATGCTAATGGATGCAAATGACATGTGAAAATCGAGTAAATGAAAGCCCGAAAGTCAGAAAACGTTAAAAGAGCAAAATTGGAAGAAAACACTATTTGGCCGCACGTGCGGTGGCTTGGCCGCTCGTGCGGTGGCCCAGGCCGCACGAGCGGTGGAACTGCAGTAGCCAAAACACTGTTTGGCCGCTCGAGCGGTGGCCCAGGCCGCTCGAGCGGTCTAGGTGAAAAACTAGTCCCATTTTCTGCTAATCCGTGGGTCTCCCTCATTTGCAAAAACAACATCAAATTTGTGAAAACAAAGCCCAAGCACTTGAAAACAACTCATCTTAAACATCAAAACTTCTAACAAAACCCAAATGCATCATTTCTTAAGTCCATGGAGTTTCCTTCCCAAATATGACAAGTATAAACATGAATCATAATAATATGCCATGTATGCTAAAAAATGCATCCTAGGTTAAATACAACACAATACTATCAATTATACATAATTTTCCCTTCATTCCATTTACTTACCATAAGATCATGGGTGAATCAACCTTATTTCAAGAAATTAGAAAGAGATTCTTACCTTAATTAATTAATTGGAGAAGTTTAGGCTTGATTCCCCTTTCTTTCATCTTCTTCCCTTTGGTTCCCCCTTTCTCACGACCTCTCTCTTTCTTTCTCAGATATTTTCCACTTTTGTTGAGTCAAACAAGGGTCCTTACTTTTATCTATACATAATATATATAATTGTGCCAAAAACTTGAGCCAAACATGGCTTAGCGAATCAGACGAAAATCAGTTCTCAATTAAATTTTTCAAATGGCTATAAAAATTCCCGGTAACATATAGGCGTGTTTAATTTCATTTTCCGAACCCATTATGGTTGTCAATTTCAGTCCCGAAGTTGTAGCCTCAACAGATATTTTTTTCAATTCAAACAGATAGTCCCCAATTAATTTATATTAGCGCATAATTAATTACGGATAATTGTGACATGCGTTTTGGGCCGTTACAGAGCGACCCCATGTTTTGTGTCTGGACGCTCGAGTGACACTTCTTGCGCTCGAGCGATCCATGCGTATATTAGTTCATAAATAGTCATTTTTGAATCACTTTTTCATCTCTCTTTCTCTCTTTAAACATTTCAAGAACCCTAGATCTACACACTCTCTCTCTAAAACTCTACTTCTCTCTGTAAATACACTTAGATCCGTCGGGTTCCTCACCCGTGTCCCTTTGTTAAAAAGGTAGAGCGCGTCGTAGGCTTCCTTTTAATCTGAACAAAGTTGGGTTTTGGCGTCTTTGAAGTGTCTCCATTCTCTCTCTCATATTCTAAGTGTGAGGTAGGAGTATCTCCACACTTTTTATGAGTTTTAACTTAGTTATTTGTTATTTCTAAACAATATTGAGATTTTGGAAGATTTGGAACAAATCTAGGGTTTTAGGTAAAAATCAAAAGAGGGTTTTTTTTTTTCCAAATGGATCCTTGAAAATGGTTTTGATGTGAAAAATAATGTTGAGTTGGGAATAAATGACTGATTTTGATATTTGAGCTTGATTTTTGGAAAGAAAAGAGGTTTTTCCCTAAATGCCTCAAATGTTGATTTAATGAGATTGATATTGAAATTGTGAAATTGGAACCATGTTGATGAGGATGGTGGAGTTAAATATGTATTATCACTCACATCTTGAAAATTTGGAGAATTTATCTTTATGGATAATTGTTTATCTGTTTAGAGATACCTATTTTGGGTTATTGGTGAAGGATAACTATGATTGTTGTAGAAATTACATGTGAATTAGGAGAATTGAAACTATTTTCTCATCCATTTGCATTGAGCATTGTTGTATAATTATTTTGTGAAAAAATGTATATTGTTTTGAGAAAAATTGGTGAATTTGGGAAGCAAATATTGTTATATCAAATAAGTTAGCCTGTGTATCCAAGGTGAAAGTCCCAAAAATCGCCTTATACATGAGTGTCGATCCCGCGGACGAAATATCCGTAAAATGGCAATAGCAGTGTTTGTATAGCCTACGTTTACATGGGTGCCGGTTCACGGTTTCCCGCGAACAAAATTTCCATAAAAGATTGTATTGGTTTCCTCGAGTATGATTCACTGCCCTATTTTTTATTGTGAAGGAAACGATTTGTGAACAATGATATTAATGTGGCATTGCATGGTTTTGGAAAGAGATATAAAATGTTTTTGGCACAAGCATTACATATATATTCACTTTATAGCTTTGTTAAGATTTATATACCGTGTTAGATTATTTCTACTGGGTTTTAGCTTACCCTACGTGAAAAAAACATTTCAGATACTGATGATATGCCTTTGTCAAGGCAATAGCTTGGGAGGACTTTGAGCAAGAGCTTCATTTTGTGTATTTGTTATATTTATTTTGTACAAGCTAAGAGTTTTAACAGTATTGGATCTTAATCCATATTTGTTGTAACAAAGTATTGACTTAGAAAGCTATAGGCCCTTAGGGCATTTCTTATCTGTTTAACTTTTATTTTATTTCTTAATTTACAACATATGCTATGATTCAGGACCAGACTTATGAATATATACCTGCATATGTTATCATTTTGTAAACTCAATAAATTATTTTATCATTGTTGTCAATTATTGATATTGTGGATGAGTTATAGTATATATATTTTCGGAGCGTTATAATCTCGGTGGTGGGTCCATTTCTATGTATTAGGTCAAATCAGACTAAGAATCGATTATCTTTGAATTTGATTCCACAGATATAGTCATGACACCTTATAGTATTAATTTTCTCTTGATCAAAATAAATATAAAAAAAAAACGTGTATAGTATGAATTATACGCTAATTTTTTTTTTATAAATATGATTTTCACTTCAGATTTTAGGAAATAAACGATTTTGGATGGTAATTGTGGAAATGAGACTTACAAGGACGATATTTGTATGGAGAGGGACTATTCCTCATTGGGGATTGAAGATGTGGAGATTGGTGAAATTAATCTTGGCCGTCAAATGATAGGTGATTCAAACAAATAGAAAAATACTAGGGACCAAGAAAATTATCAAATATTCAACAAATATTAAAGTCTCTAATATTTTTGCATGTTTCAATAATTGTTGTCTATGAAATATATATCATAAATATATTTTAATTTTTTAAAATAAATATAATAAAATAAAAATTATACGATTATTAGATTGGTCTAATTTTTTTAATAGATATTATACACTAAATTTTTTATGAAATGAATTATTTAAATTATCAAAATCTATATGCCCCTCACTTTAATGAATAATAAAAAAATTTACATTTTTTTCATTAATTAACAATATTATCACTTCAGTCAAAGGATTTAGCTTGTTTCCGGTTGAAAGTTAAATTAGACCAGATAGTTGAGATTTCAACCAATAAAAATTATCAAACGAAAGACTATTACTTGTATAAATTTATGAAAACATGATCCAATTAAATTTTTTCAAAAACTTTTATTAATAAAAATGTTACGTTTAATAATTCTTACTTATAAGAACATTTTGTTTAATAATTTTTATTGATCGGAGACCTAACGGCTAAAATTTTAACCGGAGAGATGAATATTTTTAGTTTGACAACCCCCTCTTCAAACTGTAATAACACTAATCTGTATTCAACTATTCCCACACTCAAATAATTCGAAAATGAAAAATGCTTGGGAGCATTAATTAGTGCTCCCACTAGTTAGGTAGCAGTGGGTCTCGCCATTAATGATGTGTTATTTTGGTCTTGAAGTTATTTTTTTTTTTTTTATTACTTTTTTAATGCATTAGTGTTGAGATGGATCATTGTTCCAAAATGATTTCTTTAGATATTCTC